CATATTTGGCGTCGAGAAGAGTGTCACGAATAAGAGCTTTTCCGAAGACTGTTTGTATTTGAACGTCTGGTCGCCGAACAACGAGAGCCCGAAGGCTGTGATGGTTTGGATCCACGGCGGCGCTCTGCTCGCGGGCTCGGCCTCGGAGTTCTACTACGAGGGGTCGGTTTTGGCCGCAAAGGGAAACGTTGTCGTCGTGTCCATGAATTACAGGTGAAACGCGTTTCCAAACGTTTCTTCGATTACAATGTTCTCGCAAACAACAGACTCAACGCTTTGGGCTTTCTGTACGCGGGCGCTGATGAGGCGCCGGGCAACGTGGGTTTGTGGGATCAGGCGCTGGCGCTGGAGTGGATCAAAGACAACATCCGGTACTTCGGGGGCGACGACTCGCGCATCACTCTGTTTGGGGAGAGCGCCGGCGGGTGGAGCGTCTCTCTGCACGTGCTCTCTCCCGTCTCGCGGCACCTCTTTCATAATGCGATTTTGAATTCCGGCGCCTATTTGTATAATCTCGGAGACGACAGACCCGAAGATCACGTGACAAAGTGGCTGAAGGGCGCGAAGAGTATCGGATGTGTTGACAACGAGAACAAAGCGTTTTCGCCGAAGATTATGCGATGTTTGCGCGGAAAGAGCAGGAATTGGTGGCCATCACCGACGACAAGGCATTGATGTTCGGTTCGATAAAGTTGTTCACTTTGGTCGTCATTGACGGCGAATTCCTTCCCGAGAGACCGATAGAAATGCTGCGAAACCGGGATTTTTCCGCGAACATCCATCTTCTGGTCTCGACCACTGAAGACGAGGGAAGTTTCCTTTTGAGCGGATTTTACGATTCCGACAAATTCGACGAACAAAACCCGAAAAACCTTTCGTTCGCCGAAGCGTTCCATGAGTTGAAAGTGGTTTCCGAGGAATCTTCCTCTTTGATCCCAATTGACGGCAAATCTGTGGCGAAACTCTATTTCTCGGGACTTTCCGACCGAAACTCGTTCGCGGAATTGCGGCGCAGACTCGGCGTCGCGATCGGCGACTACTTCCTCTCGTGTCCGACTCTGGAGTTCGCGAAACAGGTGTTTATAAACAGCGACTTCGCGGCCAAAGTGTGGCAGTACTTCTTCAACGCGCAGTTCGGCCCCAACGCCTTCTGCGCGCATTGGATGGGCGTCTGTCACGGCAACGACATCTCCCCGATGTTTGGACTTCCGTTTCGATTCGGGGAACAATTCGGCGAAAGAGAGAAAGAGATTTCCGAACAAATGATTGCATTTCTCGCGAGTTTCGCCAAAAATGGGTTCAATTTCCATCTTTTTCTGTTTAGTCATTGATTTCTAATTGGTTTTGTTTTTGACACAAAAACACATTTCGCTTTCAATGAACTCTCAGTTCGCCTTCGGATCGGAACGGCGTTCAACTGTGGGAACAGTACTTCCGTCTCGCGAATAATGAAGTCGTGGCGCCGTTTCTGGAGATCGGAGTTTCTGGAAGTGAGCGCAAAGTGGGACTCAAAGCGAACGAATGCGAAAGACTTTGGAACCGATATTTGCTGTGATGTTTGTTTATGAATGAAAACATGTTTTTTAAACAAAACTGCTTTTTGTCACTTTATTATTGATTAATGACTTTTCACGCTTTCATGCGATAAATATTCACAAAACGAGTCTTTAATGCGTTTCTGGCCTTCAATCCAATCACACGTCAAATCGCTTTCAATTCTCGCGACAATAATTCACACTTCACTTTAAAATGCTTTTCAAACCTCTCATTGTTTGCGCGTTCTTTGCGTCCGTTTTCGGCGAAATCTCTGTCCGCATAAAAGGCGGGATTTTGAACGGAAAACGAGAGCAAAAGTACGGCAAAGAATTGCTCG